TTGATGCTTCAAATATTGGGGTGGGTGCTTATCTCAAAGAGAATCACTTGAAAAGCCATTACATCCTTGTGGCTTCTTTTCCAAGCAGATGTCCAAAGCCAAAAGGATTATGACATAGGCAATCGAGAACTCATTGCTATTGTTTTAGCACTTAAGGAGTGGAGACATCTTTTGGATCTTACGGATCACAAAAACCTTTCCTACCTTAGTGAGGGCAAAAGATTGTCTTCTAAGCAGGCCAGGTGGTCACTGTTTTTATCTCATTTCAATTATATCATCACCTACAGACCATGTGATCGTAACACTAAAGCCGACGCTCTGTCCAGACAATTCGAAACTACCGACAAACAAGAGTTTGATGATACCCCTGTCATTCCCCCGGACAGAATAATAGCTACTACGGTTCTATCTATTTCTTCTTCACTCTTGCAAGTTATACAGGCTAAACAAAACATGGCACCTAGAGAGAGACCTGCTGATAAACTGTTCGTTGATGTTCCCGAAAGACGGGACATTATGTCATTATATCATGACACCAAAACTGCTGGACATCCTGGTATTTCTAAAACCTTAACAGCAGTTTCTAGATATTTTTGGTGGGCTTCCTTACTCAAGGACGTCACCGATTACGTACAGGCATGTACTACTTGTTCCAGTATGAAGTCTTCTCGTAGAGTTCCTTGTGGGTTGTTGCACCCGTTGCCCATACCCGAGAGGCCTTGGTCCAATCTATTTATGGATTTTATTGTTGAATTGCCTCCTTCGAATGGTAAAACAGTCATCCTGATGACAGTGGATCGATTTTCTAAGATGGCTCATTTTGTGTCTCTTGTCAAATTGCCCTCATCCAAGGAACTTGCTTCTATCTTCGCCAGGGAGGTGTTTCGGTTGCACGGTATTCCAGAATCAATTGTATCCGATAGGGGTAGCCAATTTATTTCCAGGTTCTGGAAAGCCTTTTGTTCGGAGATGGGTATTTCTCTCTCATTTTCCTCCGCTTACTACCCCCAGTCTAATGGAGCTGCTGAACGTGCCAACCAATCCCTAGAGTAGTATCTTCATTGTTTCGTATCCCACCATCAGAACAATTGGGCTGACCTTCTTCCTTGGGCTGAGTTTGCTCGTAATAACGCTGCTCATGAATCTTCCGGTAATAGCCCTTTCTACGTTGTTTATGGCCGGCATCCTGTTGTTCTTCCAGCTGCATTCTCCTTACAGGGCATGCCAGTTCTGGATGAGCATTTGGCTGGTTTACATACTACTTGGGAGCAGGTTCAGCATTCTTTGATGGACTCTGCTGCTCGCCAAAAGGTTCAAGCTGACAATAATCGCAGGGCGGCTCCATCCTATGTTGTGGGGGATAGGGTTTGGCTTTCCACTCGCAATATCCGCCTTCATGTGCCTTCTATGAAGCTGGCTCCCCGTTTTATCGGTCCTTTTCGTATCTTGCATAAAGTTAATCCTGTTTCATATGCCTTAGATCTTCCTAGGAACCTACGTATTCCTAACGTCTTTCACACCTCCTTGTTGAAACCTCTCCTGTGTAACCGTTATACCCGGCATGTTCCTCCTCCTGTTTCTGTGGAGGGTCATGAGGAATTTGAAGTAGCTGCTGTGCTTGACTCTCGTTTTTTCAGGGGTGGCCTCCAGTACCTGGTGCATTGGAGGGGTTATGGGCCTGAGGAACGCAGTTGGATTTCCGCTGACGCTGTTCACACTCCTCGCCTTGTGCGCTCCTTCCATTCTCGTTTTCCTGCCAGGCTTGGTCCTCCCCGTCCAGTGGGCGTGTCTTCAGGGGGGGTACTGTAGCGGTACTTACCTTATCCGGGGGCCAGCCGAGGTCCTCTATTCCCGCCGAGATGCGGTCACGTGTCCAGCCTAGCTCTAAGAGCGCGCCGCACGTCTCTGACTGCCTCTCTGCAATTTCCAATTGGATGGCTGCTCACTTCCTTAAACTCAACCTGTCCAAAACAGAACTTTTGGTCTATCCTCCCTCAAGTGTTGCTACTCCCGTGTCTGTCTCCCTCCAAGTCAACGGCGCTACCATCACCTCTACCTTGCAGGTTCGCTGCCTGGGTGTTCTTTTTTACTCCAACCTCTACTTCACCCCTCATGTCCAATCAATCGCTAAATCCTGTCACTTCCATCTCAAAAACATAGCGCGCATCCGCCCCTATTTAATGCCGGATGCGGCTAAGGTGCTGGTCCATGCTGTTGTTCTCTCTCGCCTTGACTACAGCAATCCTCTTCCACTACAGTGGTTTTACATTATAGATTGCTCCGCTGCAATCTATAATGAATGTAGCGGCGAGGCTCATTTTCCTGTCCGCTCGCACCTCTCACGTCTCCCCGCTCTGTCAGTCCCTGCATTGGCTTCCAGTTAGATATAGGGCTAAATGTAAAATTATGGTGCTTGCTTACAAGTCCCTACATAATGCTGCTCCAACCTACCTATCCTCCCTAATACACAAGTATGTCCCGTCGAGGCCCCTCTATCCTCTGTCCATACTCCCACCTCTTATGCTCGCCTCCAAGATTTCTCAAGGGCTGCACCTCTTCTGTGTAAGTCCCTTCCCTTCTCCGTAAGAGTTTCACCGAGTGTCCACACATTCAAAAAATAATTGAAAACTCACTTCTTTAAGAAAGCATATCAATGAAACTGTTAGCAGGTGTTTATCCCCCACCCCCCATGACTCCTCTCCTGCAACTGTCAAAAATTACCTACTAAGCCTTCAGTGAATACTTTTCTAACAACCTACTTCGTACCCCTACTTTTACCCTTTGTGTCACTATACTCCACTCCCTCTAGCATGTAAGCTCATTGGGCAGGGCCCTCCACCCCCTCTGTTCCTGTATGTCCATTTGTCTGGTTACAATTACATGTCTGTTAGTCCACCCATTGTACAACGCTACGGAATCTGATAACGCTATATAAATAAAATAATATATTTAGGAAGATGGGGGGGGAGGGAGATGAGCAGGGTGGCTAAATGGTGGTTTTAACACTGTAGGATCAGGAATACAAGTTTATGTTCATGACCCTACAGTGTTTATTTAATAAATACATTAAATTTAAAGGTTTTAATATACAGAAAGGGTGGACATTGAAGCATGAACATGATTAAAGGACATTTTAAAAGGCAAATGTACCAACATCCAAATAAATAATAATATACTTTATTTTCCAAGATTATTATAAAAATATAATTCCAAATACAAACATATCTATTCAGACCTTTGTGATCTGCAGTTTATCTACTGTGAACAGGGGTTCAATCTCCATTCACCAGTTAGCAGTGCCATTGTGTAATTTGCTTCATGACCATGAAATTAGCAATTTTCCAGACACATACGCATAACTCTACCATCTCCTGATGGTGACACATATTTTATGTTATCGGTATTAGTATTTTTTTTAAATATACAATGATAGAGTTAATATTATAAGAAAATAATTCCTACAAATTTACACAAACTGCATTTTTGATAAGTGTTGGCATGCATGAATTTGTTAAAATAAAGTTATTTAATTGAAAGTTATTTATGTGGTTCCAGTAGTGATGACAACATTGATTTTAGTGTCAGTGCAATGAGGTAGGATGTCACTAGCATTATGGATAAATGTGCTTGTGTTTGAATTCTGACTTATGCTAACCTGGACATTCATGCTGTTACACACAGTCAAATCACAATCAAAGTGCAATGTTCCATTGATAAGGTTGTAATTGCAAACATTGTGACTTTTCTGAAGCTGCTGACCACCTTGTAATAAACTGGGTGACAAGATGTCAGGATCGTTTTCAACCATTGGACATTCAAGATCTTTTAAGTGCAATAGCTGGATTGATTTCCCTATTTTATTATCTGGTCCTGCACATTCAATTTCAGAAACCTGTGTTAAATCCTGGTTCTCCTTTATCCACTTTAGAAGATAGGACAGTGAACAGTTGCATAACCATGGATTATCATGAAGACCCAAAGAGTACATGTTGTATAGTTCATCAAGCAGTCCTTCTGGGAGCATTGTTAGTTTGTTATGATGGAGAACAATGGCATTCAAAGACTTTATGTGGCTAAATACATTGCTATCAATGAGACTAATGTTGTTGTTGTCAAGGTATAAATGGGTGATTGAATCCAAGCCGTGAAAAATATCCCCTTCCAGCTTTTCAATCTGGTTGTACGACAAGAATATCTTTTCAACTTTAACTAAGCTGGAAAAAATGTTTTCTGGAATGGTCTTCAACTTGTTTTCAGACAATGATAATATGGTTAAATTTTTCATGGCATCAAAAATTCTAATGGGAAGGACGTTAATTTGGTTTCTTTCAAGGGTTAGGAAGGAGAGGCTGGAGAGAGATGCAAAAACTTCAGAAGTGAGAGTTTTAATTGAATTGCTCATGAGATTTAATTTCTCCAAAGAAACCAACATTTTAAAAGTGTACTTAAAGATAAATGTAATATAGTTCCCATTGAGTGTTAGCTCTCTGAGTTCTCCAAGATGTGTAAATGTATCTGGATATAGATCATGTATTTGATTATTATTAAGTTTGAGAATTCTGAGTTGTTTAAGTGGTTGAAAAAGATTATAACTTAATGTTTTGATTTCATTAGAACTAAGGTTGAGTTCGATCAGATTTAATAAGTTTTTGAATGCATCCTTGCAAATAAACGAGATGTTATTTCCTTGTAACGAGAGCACTTCCAACTTCTTGTTATTAAGAAATAGTCCACATGGAAGAATTGATATGACATTATAGGTAATGGTGAGTTTCCTAAGTTCAGGTAGCTCACCAAATAATCCAGACCTCAATTCTGATAGTGGGTTGGCTGAAATTTCCAGGTCTCTAAGGTTTAGCAAGTGAAACGCGTTTTCATGTATATATTGTATTTTATTTTTCATGAAAACCAGTTTGTTTAACATTTCATATGATATGATGGTTGCATTGTCAATCATATCTATAGAAGTTTCCAAAAACATGAGTTCCGTGGCATTGATTGGAATATCTTTGGGAATTTCAGTAACTGATTCACCAAAACAGAAAACATTGACTTTTTTAAAACAAATACATGATGTTGAGCAACTCATTGCATACCAAGAATGAAGAACTATGCAGCCACAGATGATGCTGAGTCTCATCCACATGTTCCTTAGCTGAAATTATATTAACAATCATTATAAGGAGTTATAGCATTTTAAATATGTCTAACCCAGCCTATTTAACCCTGTTCTCATCCCAGTTCTTGTGATTTCCCTCTCCTCATCCACTTTATTCTTTGTTCTTCCCTCAAAGATTTGTGAACACATTTTGCTATGTTGTTCAACCCAAACTCAGCTTTTCCATCTCTTGCCTCCAGTCTTTAACTTTCCCCATACTGTTTCCAATTTGGACTACTAATAAGGGGAAGGGGGCACCAGGGCACTCATGGTACCATAACCACTACATTGCACATAGTGGCTGTATTGGGAACATGGGGAGCATGAACCCAATACTGTACTATAGGGCCTGTAGTGGGTGCAGTGAGAAGTAGGGGCTGTAGTGGGTGCAAGGAAGGATAGGGACTGTTGTGGGTTCAGGGAGAGATAGAAGCTTTAGTGGCTGCAAAAAGGCATAGGGTCAGTAGTGGGTAAGGTGGGTATAGGGAGGGATAGAGATTGAGGTGGCTGCAGGAAGGCATAAGGACTGCGGTAGGTGCAAGTAAGCTAGTGGGTGCAGGAAGGCATAGTGGCTGAGGTGAGTGTAAGGAGTGCATAGAAGCTGTATTAGCTGAGGTGGGTACAGGGAGGGATAAAGTCTGAGGTAGGTGCAGGGAGGGATGGGGCTGAGTGCAGGGGGGCAAAGATTCCTCAACTGTGAAAAATACATCATCTCAAGCAGTAGATGCTTTTTCCCCTCTCTTCTCTATAAAAATATAAAATGCTATAAAATGATCTCAACCATGAGGGGGCCACTATAATAATTTTTTTAATAGACAACAGTATAAAAGTCATTTATCTGTGCTTTGTATGAAAAACTATATCTTCTGCCCAGCTTATGGTAACCTTTCTATTGTTTTTATGGCTCACACAAACACGTGAAATATGGGGCTGTTTCACAGAGTAAAGATAAAGATGCAAACTCAAAAGCATAACAAACGAGCAGCCACATTTATAGATATAACACATTTATATTTTTGTATCTGTTGATTTATAATAACTAATGGATTAAAGGTGTTTTAATAATGTGTTTAAAGTCTGCAATTCAGTCTCAATTTTTGCACATTAACATATTACATTTTATTCCCAAGTCTAAACATTTAAATCTTTTCTCTGTACTCAGAGATAAGTTCATTTTAATTATCGCTGCACTAAGCTCTTATTTAACCCCTTAAGGACACATTATGTGTGACATGTCATGATTCCCTTTTATTCCAGACGTTTGGTCCTTAAGGGGTTAAATTTGTATTAAAACGACCAGGTTTATTTACTTAAGAGAGAATTTAAAGTGCATTTCAAAGTAAATTTCACGTTTTAGACCAAAGTAGTAAAACTGGAAGCATAGCTGAGAAAAGTTTGTCAAATTCTGCTATTTTTGCATTAAATGTAAATTTCTCTATGAATTCACTTTGAATCCTCACTTTAGTAAATAATCCTGTATGTAAAACAAACGGGGAGCAGGGCTTCAAGATTCCATATTTTTAATTAGGTTAAAAATATATATTTTTTAGAAGTTACCAATGAGTGCTCAATGTAACCTAGAGTTTACTCCCACTTCATCAAGGTATGATTTATAAAAGTACATTAAGTCTTCATATTTTACAAGGTGCATTTGCCTGATAACAACTGAAATAAAATATCTGCTATTATGTGTGCAAATCATCTCTCTGGAATACTTGAGATTTTGGTATGCAGAGAATGTATTTAATGGAAAATACATAGTAAAATAGGATAAATACATACCATGGTACTGGAATGAAAATACAGCAAGCACCTTATCACTCAGTGTAGACTCTGAATTCCTGGTAGGATAAGCACTTGCGAAATATTACTGGAATATAAAGGATCTGATGAAGCAGTTTTTTACTGGGCGGAGGGAACGGTCAGCAGCAAAGATAACACGTATTTAAAAGATTGGACATCAAAACAATATTTCTACTTTTATATTTCCAAGCAGAGTTGAGAAATATTCTTAGCTAGTAAGGAGCTGGAATGGCAGTTTTTTCAACTCATTGTTAACTGGACACAAATGTGATTGACAGAAAAACAAAACAAAGATTAATCTATATTTTTTTAAGCAGTAGTAAACAGGAGTAATGGAGTGGACACTTTCAGTATATAAACTAAGTTACATAAAATGGTACATAAAAATGAATGATAAAAAGTCACAACTGGTGTAAGTTAACTAAGTAATATTGAGTCATGTGAGCATTTGGATGCTTATTCTCTCTATCCCTGCTCATTTATGTTTTATTATCTCTTAATTGGGAGGATACCCCCAAAAAAAGGTACATTATAGTTGACTATGAGAATATTAGTTCTGGTTTCCTTTTGAATATTAAAGTGGAAAACAGACTCATGTAGACATGGCCTAAATATATCGCCAAACGCTGACATCATGCAATGACTGATAACACAGAGTCAGTTGATACATTAACATTTGAGCCTGCAGCAAACAAGTATGAAAAACATGACAGATAATTAAAGTGCATAGTATTGTTACAACAGAAATTAGCAGACAAATGATGAAACAGGAAGTGTAAAATGGAGGAGGAGGGACAACATTCAGAAGAGAAGGGCATAGACTAAATGTGTGGAGGTAGAGGATCATAGAAAGAAAGAAAAGGAGAGGGAAAACAAGTATTTGGAGAGAGAAATGGAAAACATATAGCAAAGAAGCAACGGCAAATATTACGAGATTAAGGGGAAAAAAAACATAGATGTCCCCAAGTCTCAAAAAAGCAGATAGAAAATACATTTTAATTAAAGCATGGCAAAAAAAATCCCATCTTCTTATCGACACTTGGGTGGGTTCTTAGGGGTTATGCCTTAACCCCAGCAATATAACTCTATTAATTGAAACTGAAGCCAACCCCTTACAGACAAGGGAATTGCTTATCCCTTGGCCCTTGATAAATGTCTTGATATGGAGTCTAACCAAGTTATACTTCATTAAATAGACACCTGCTTCATTCATTAGGAAGAGATAGAGGATGTAGTAGGCATAGGTGATGCAGTGAGTGCGGGGGGGGGGAGGGGCATAGGGGCTGTAGTGGGAGCAGGGAAGGCATACAGGCTGTAGTAGGGACAGGTGGCATAGGGGTTGTAGTGGGTGTAGCGGGTCATAGGGGCTGTTGTGGGCACAGGGAGGCATAGGGGGCTATAGTGGGCACATGAAAGGATGGAGGAAATTGTGGGTGCAGGAAATGATTAGGGCTGTTGAGGGTGCATGGATGGATAGGGACTGTAGTGGTGGCAGGGAGGAATAGAAGCTGTAGTGGGTGCAGAAAGGCATAGAGGCTGTAGTGGGTGAGGTGGATACAGGGAGATATAGAGGTTAAGTTGGGTGCAGGAAGGCATAGGGTTTGTGGTTGGTACAGAGGGCATATGGGCTGAGGTAGGTACAGGAAGGGCATGGTGACTGAGGTGGGTGCAGTGAGGGATAGGGGCTGTGGTGGGTGAGTGGGTACAGTATAGGGATAGAGGTTGAGGTGGGTGCAGGGCCATAGGGGTTGTGGTGGATACAAGGAGGGACAGAGGATGTGGTGGGTAGAGGGTAGCATAGGGGCTGTAGTGAATGCAGGGGGGCATAGGGGCTGAGGTGGACCCAGGGGTATAGAGGGCTATAGTGGGCACATGGAGGGGTAGAGGAAATTGTGGGTGCAGGAAAGGATTGGGGTTGTTGTGGGTGCAGGGATGGATAAGGACTGTAGTGGTTACAGGGAGGGATAGAAGCTGTAGTGGGTGCAGAAAGGTATAGTGGGTGCAGAAAGGCATAGGGGCTGTAGTGGGTGAGGGGGTAGAGGAAGATATTGAGGCTGAGGTGGGTACAGTGAGGGATAGGCGCTGTGGTGGGTGAGAGGGTACAGAGAGGGATAGAGGTTTGGGTGGGTGCAGAAAGACATAGTGGTGGGTGTAGGGGGGCATAGGGGCTGTGGTGGATACAAGGAGGGATAGAGGATGTGGTGGGTACCGCCTTGGCGGTACTTAGTGGCTGTATTGGGAACATGGGGAGCATGAACCCATTACTGTACTATAGGGCCTGTAGTGGGTGCAGTGAGAAGTAGGGGCTGTAGTGAGTGCAAGGAAGGATAGGGACTGTTGTTGGTTCAGGGAGAGATAGAAGCTTTAGTGGCTGCAAAAAGGCATAGGGTCAGTAGTTGGTGAGGTGGGTATAGGGAGGGATAGAGGTTGGGGTGGCTGCAGGAAGGCATAAGGACTGCGGTAGGTGCAAGTAAGCTAGTGGGTGCAGGAAGGTATAGTGGCTGAGGTGAGTGCAAGGAGTGCATAGAAGCTGTATTAGCTGAGGTGGGTACAGGGAGGGATAAAGTCTGATGTAGGTGCAGGGAGGGATGGGGCTGAGTGCAGGGGGGCATAGAGGCAGTTGAAAATATCAACAAGGAGCATACCTGTACTGACTCTTCCAGGTTGCTGATCCTTATCTGCAAAGTGTTCACAGGCCAGGAGCACAGGGAGGTGAAGTCAAGCAGCTGAAGTGGATGGACGCACTTACTAAGAGCTCTGATACAAGGCAAAATTATTACCTTCTTTTATCTATAATCCTGATTTGGGGAACATTATTCCTGAGTTCACAGTTACACTATGGATCGCAAGACCAAGAAATAAAAAAATACAGAAAAAACATGAATGGGCATGAACATAGGAGAGTAGCTGCGACAAGCACATGGTATGCTTGGGTCCAATATGGCCTCCTATCCCAGGACTGCTCTGACATATTAAATAATTTTTCCCTTGAGCTGTAATCTACTTGCTTTGCTCCCTCATGCACCCTTCTATGATGCCAGAAGCTGGAATATGACATAACTCTGGCCCCACATAACTAAGTGGTGTGCAAGGGAGCAAAGCAAGAGTACAGCTCCTGCGCGGTCTACATTGCGCGCACACCCACCCGGCAGACTCAGCAGCCACACTGAACTCCAGCAACAGAATCCACACACTGGACCCCAGTCAGGATCCCCACACAGGACCCGAGGGAAAGAATCCACACACTGGACTCCAGGGACAGGATCCACACTGGACACCAGGGCAGGATCCACTGCAGCTCTCCCAAAGGTAGGGAGGCTGGGTGGACATACATCATATAATAAAAATAATAATAATACTTTGTGAGTGTGTGTGTCTGTCAGTAAATGTCAATAAATGTTTGTGTGTGTGTCAGTGAAAGTGTCTGTCAGTAACTGTCAAATCAGTGACACTCTGTGTCTGTCAGTGACGTCTATGTGTTTGTCATTGAATGTGTGTGACTGTCACTGTGTCTGTCATTGAGTGTGACAGTCACACACATTCAATGACAAACACACAGACGTCATTGACAGACACAGACTGTCACTGTGGGTGGTGTATGTCTGTTGGTGTGTGTCAATCAATGAGAGTGTGTGTCTGTCAATGAGTGTGTGTGTCTGTCAATGAATTTGTAAGTGAATGTATGTCTGTCGGTCAGAGTGTGTCAAATCAGTGAGGGTTTGTGTCTGTCAGTAAATGTATATGCATGGGTGTGTTTCCGTCAGTAAGTGGTTGTGTCAGTCTGTCAGTGAAAGTGTGTGTTGACTAAACAGAGTCTGAGGCAATGAGTGTGTGTGTGTCTGTCAGTGAGTGTATATCAGTGTATGTGTATTAGTAAAGGCATGTTGTCAGTCAGTTCAAGTGTGTGTTGATTAAACAGTGTGTGTGCCAATGAGTCTGTGTATGGTCGATAAAAGTGTGTGTGCTTAAAAGGATGAGGTGCAAATACGTGGAGTCCTAAGAGGAAGAGATGGGGCCTTGACAGGAATGAGTTGGGAAAATTTAGATTAGGGGGGGTGCCCAAGTTTAGTAATACCTAAGTCAACACAAAACCAAAATACACAACTACACTTTGGTCCAAGGATCTCGACTTACCCGATGCAACAGCTCCAACACTGGTATCATCAAAATTTGACTCATCTCCACGGATGAGGGCAGTCCTAAGGAACTCTTAGTGGACCTTCAAAAAAATATTTTAACCAATGTGACTACACTCCACAAGGATCCACAAGGCCTGACAGGCCATCTTGGTGCTTTCGAGAACACTTCTCTGCACCCAACAACTCAACTCACTCCAGCAGGTGATACCAGCAGGTATGCATCAACATCATGGAACATTTGCGAGACACTTTGCAGCCCTAGAGGATATGGTGAAGAAATAATTAAAGGGAAATTTCGGAGGACATTTCGAATGCAGAATACCACATTTCTTACATCATCTGCTGGTTGTCTTCTTGTCTCCTAGACAAGCCAAATCTGTAGTGTTGGACGTTTTCTTTTATATCCCCAGGCCGGACAGGGCCCCAGCCATAGTGAACAGGACTAAGTAATGCGCTTTCAAAAAAGCAGGAATAAAGCTGCAATCTTAGCACCCATCAATAGGAACTTTCCCTACAACTTTGAAACAATGTCTCTTACCTTGTATGCGAACCTCCCTGGTGGTACATTGTCTTGGCAGAGGTCACTACGATGATTCCGGCACATCCAGAAAAAAGTTCATAAAGGCGGGAGTTCATATAGTGAGACATGCCTGTATATACATAGCATGACTATAACACATCACTTTCTCTATGTTATATTCTTTGAAGCATTGCTTAAGAGGTGTATCGCATTACTAACAGTGAATCCATTCTAGAACATTATAACATTTTGATCCATACTCTGTCCTGTATAATATAAACTCTTGTAACTTATAAGACATACATTTCTGTATGCTTATTATATTATCGTACATAGCTAGGCTGTAAGTTGAACAAACAAACAATAAGAAAAACTAAATCTGAAAAGGGGCTCTTAGTGTAGAAAAAGAACCAAACATTATTTCATAATTTTATTAAAAAATAAACAGGTCAGATACAATACCTACACCATGACACAAAATTGCAACATGTCAGAAGATCCATCTGCTAATATAATATAAAAGCAAAGTAGCCTCTTCACTTGCAAGAGTTGTGCTATGCGCAATGTGCAGTTCACTGCGTGACATTAGTGAAACATAGAAACATAGTATGAGATGACAGATAAGAACCATTCGGCCCATGTAGTCTGCCCAATTTTCTAAATACTTTCATTAGTCCCTGGCCTTATCTTATAGTTAGGATAGCCTTATGCCTATCCCACCCATGCTTAAACTCCTCACTGTGTTAACCTCTACCACTTCAGCTGGAAGGCTATTCCATGCATCCACTACCCTCTCAGTAAAGTAATACTTCCGGATATTATTTTTAAACCTTTGCCCCTCTAATTTAAGACTGTCCTCTTGGTGTGGTAGTTTTTACTGCTAATACCTCTCCCTATACAACCAAGCATTCTGCTAGCATGTCCTGCTGCTCTATTACATTGTCATACCTTTAAGTCATCTGAAATAATTACCCCTAAATCCCTTTAGTGCTGTGCATGGAACACTGCTCTCTCTGTGTGTGCACACTCACAGCACAAACCTTTCAAGTAAAGGAGGCAAACTTGAATAGTATGAGGACAAGT